AGTTCAGTTCTAGTTCAGTTCTAGTTCAGTTCTAGTTCAGTTCTAGTTGAGTTCTAGTTCAGTTCTAGTTCAGTTCTAGTTCAGTTCTAGTTCAGTTCTAGTTCAGTTCTAGTTCAGTTCTAGTTCAGTTCTAGTTCAGTTCTAGTTCAGTTCTAGTTCAGTTCTAGTTCAGTTCTAGTTCAGTTCTAGTTCAGTTCTAGTTCAGTTCTAGTTCAGTTCTAGTTCAGTTCTAGTTCAGTTCTAGTTCAGTTCTAGTTCAGTTCTAGTTCAGTTCTAGTTCAGTTCTAGTTCAGTTCTAGTTCAGTTCTAGTTCTAGTTCAGTTCTAGTTCAGTTCTAGTTCAGTTCTAGTTCAGTTCTAGTTTAGTTCTAGTTCAGTTCTAGTTCAGTTCTAGTTCAGTTCTAGTTCAGTTCTAGTTCAGTTCTAGTTGAGTTCTAGTTCAGTTCTAGTTCAGTTCTAGTTCAGTTCTAGTTCAGTTCTAGTTGAGTTCTAGTTCAGTTCTAGTTCAGTTCTAGTTCAGTTCTAGTTCAGTTCTAGTTCAGTTCTAGTTCAGTTCTAGTTCAGTTCTAGTTCAGTTCTAGTTCAGTTCTAGTTCAGTTCTAGTTCATTTCTAATTCAGTTCTAGTTTAGTTCTAGTTCATTTCAAGTTTTAGTTCAAGTTCAGTTCTAGTTCAGTTCTAGTTCAGTTCTAGTCCAGTACTAGTTCAGTTCTAGCTCAGTTTTAGTTCAGTTCTAGTTCAATTCTCAAAATTTTATTTAAATTGTTATGACCACCCAAAAATCTTTTTCCACAATTATTTCCAAATGCAAATTTGAAATATTTTTTCAAATTAAATTTAACTTTTCTCTCTCTAATCTTCACATGATTTGTGTGTCCTCAACACATTCCTCTTTCTCGTTCAATTGTTACCGTCTAAATTTGTTTATTTTTAAAATCATTTTTTCAGATTTTTTGTTGTTCAAAATTATTTTCACTTAATTCCATGAAATTAATTTTCTTACTCCATGTTTTGATCGCGTATTTCTTTACAATTCTTTTAGAACACTCCAAACAACTCTTCTCGGGCACAAGAATACAAATTGTTGTCTAGTCTATGTGTGATGCAGAGAAGGGAATTTGGCAGTAGATAATAGTTTTAGTTTTAGATTGTAAATCAAATGTAGTTTAATTCTAGTTTAAATCTAGATGAATTTTAATTTGGAACTATGATCAGTTGGATTTTTGATACAGATCAATGCGATCAGTTAGAGTTACTTTCTAGACCCGCTTTAGTTCCGATCTCGATCGGTTCAAGTTCGTTAATGTATTTCCATACCTGAGGTCTATGAATGTTTATTTTTGCCCTGTTCTTCAACTGCACACAATAAAGAATCATTATTTCTACTTTAAAAAAACAAAAACAAAAAAATACTACGAAAAAAGTCATAAAAAAGAATAAATAATCTCATCATGTGTGTGTTTTTGATGTGTGTGAAGTGCTAAAGGGAGACGACGCTAAAAAAAGATGAACTCGTGCATTATTTTAACATACTCACACATTCTTACTTTTTTTTTAGTTTTTTGTTTTTATATTAATAAATTAATTGCAAAGACAGCAAGCAGCATCAGTAGCTGTAGCTCCAAACGGGAGCAACAACAACAAAAATAAAATAAATAAAGAAAACAACAACTGCTGCTGCATCATCACTACCACCATTGCTGACATCGTAATGGAGATCATTATAATAATGATGATGATGTTGATGCTAGCTCATGATCATCATTATTAACATCATCATTAACGGCAACATCAACCGACCACGACACAGTAGCATAACAATATTATTCCTACACACACATTTATGTATTTACATACCCACTGTGTTTGAAGATGAATAAGGGATTGATTCTATTTAAGTGGAGGATGGCTATTTTTTGTGCAATGAAGAGGAATGATGAATAGGAAGGTCGTGGGAAGGTTAACGTAGAAAAAAAGATGGATTTTTATTTGGAGAAGATCTTTAGCGCACTTCTAGTTTGGTTCTAGTACGATTCTAGTTTTGTTCAAGTTATGTTCTAGTTCTGTTTTAGTTCTGTTTTAGTTCTGTTCTAGTTCGTTTCTAGTCCAATTCTAGTTCAGTTCTAATTCTGTTCTAGTTCAGTTCTGATTTTGTTCTAGTTCAGTTCTTGTTCTAGTTCAGTTCTAGTGTTGTTCTAGTTCAGTTTTATTTAATTTTTAGTTCAGTACTAGTTCAGTTCTAGTTCTGTTCTAGTTCAGTTCTAGTTCAGTTCTAGTTCAGTTCTAGTTCAGTTCTAGTTCAGTTCTAGTTCAGTTCTAGTTCAGTTCTAGTTCAGTTCTAGTTCAGTTCTAGTTCAGTTCTAGTTCAGTTCTAGTTCAGTTCTAGTTCAATTCTAGTTCAATTCTAGTTCAGTTCTAGGTTAGTTCTAGTTCAGTTCTAGTTCAGTTCTAGTTCAGTTCTAGTTCAATTCTAGTTCAATTCTAGTTCAGTTCTAGTTCAGTTCCTAGTTCAGTTCTAGTTCAGTTCTAGTTCAGTTCTAGTTCAGTTCTAGTTCAGTTCTAGTTCAGTTCTAGTTCAGTTCTAGTTCAGTTCTAGTTCAGTTCTAGTTCAGTTCTAGTTCAGTTCTAGTTCAGTTCTAGTTCAGTTCTAGTTCAGTTCTAGTTCAGTTCTAGTTCAGTTCTAGTTCAGTTCTAGTTCAGTTCTAGTTCAGTTCTAGTTCAGGTTTCTAGTTCAGTTCTGGTTCAGTTCTAGTTCAGTTCTAGTTCAGTTCTAGTTCAGTTCTAGTTTAGTTCTAGTTCAGTTCTAGTTCAGTTCTAGTTCAGTTCTAGTTCAGTTCTAGTTCAGTTCTAGTTCAGTTCTAGTTCAGTTCTAGTTCAGTTTCTAGTTCAGTTCTAGTTCAGTTCTAGTTCAGTTCTAGTTCAGTTCTAGTTTCAGTTCTAGTTCAGTTCTAGTTCAGTTCTAGTTTCAGTTCTAGTTCAGTTCTAGTTCAGTTCTAGTTCAGTTCTAGTTCAGTTCTAGTTCAGTTCTAGTTCAGTTCTAGTTCAGTTCTAGTTCAGTTCTAGTTTCAGTTCTAGTTCAGTTCTAGTTCAGTTCTAGTTCAGTTCTAGTTCTGTTCTAGTTCAGTTCTAGTACTGTTCTAATTCTGTTCTAGTTCTGCTCTAGTTCTGTTCTAATTCTGTTCTAGTTCTGTTCTAGTTCTGTTCTAGTTCTGTTCGAGTTCTGTTCTAGTTCTGTTCTATTTCTGCTCTAGTTCTGTTCTAATTCTGTTCTAGTTCTGTTTTAGTTCTGTTCTAATTCTGTTCTAGTTCTGTTCTAGTTCTGTTCTAGTTCTGTTCTAGTTCTGTTCTAGTTCTGTTCTAGTTCTGTTCTAGTTCTGTTCTAGTTCTGTTCTAGTTCAGTTCTAGTTCAGTTCTAGTTCAGTTCTAGTTCAGTTCTAGTTCAGTTCTAGTTCAGTTCTAGTTCAGTTCTAGTTCTGTTCTAGTTCAGTTCTAGTACTGTTCTAATTCTGTTCTAGTTCTGCTCTAGTTCTGTTCTAATTCTGTTCTAGTTCTGTTCTAGTTCTGTTCTAGTTCTGTTCTAGTTCTGTTCGAGTTCTGTTCGAGTTCTGTTCTATTTCTGTTCTAGTTCTGCTCTAGTTCTGTTCTAGTTCTGCTCTAGTTCTGTTCTAATTCTGTTCTAGTTCTGTTTTAGTTCTGTTCTAATTCTGTTCTAGTTCTGTTCTAGTTCTGTTCTAGTTCTGTTCTAGTTCTGTTCTAGTTCTGTTCTAGTTCTGTTCTAGTTCTGTTCGAGTTCTGTTCTAGTTCTGTTCTATTTCTGTTCAAGTTCTGCTCTAGTTCTGTTCTAGTTCTGCTCTAGTTCTGTTCTAATTCTGTTCTAGTTCTGTTCTAGTTCTGTTCTAGTTCTGTTCTAGTTCTGTTCTAGTTCTGTTCTAGTTCTGTTCTAGTTCTGTTCTAGTTCTGTTCTAGTTCTGTTCTAGTTCTGTTCTAGTTCTGTTCTAGTTCTGTTCTAGTTCTGTTCTAGTTCTGTTCTAGTTCTGTTCTAGTTCTGTTCTAGTTCTGTTCTAGTTCTGTTCTAGTTCTGTTCTAGTTCTGTTCTAGTTCTGTTCTAGTTCTGTTCTAGTTCAGTTCTAGTTCATTTCTAGTTCAGTTCTAGTTCAGTTCTAGTTCAGTTCTAGTTCAGGTCTAGTTCAGTTCTAGTTCTAGTTCAGTTCTAGTTCAGTTCTAGTTGAGTTCTAGTTCATTCCTAGTTCATTTCTAGATCAGTTCTAGTTCAGTTCTAGTTCAGTTCTAGTTTGCTTCTGGTTAATTTTAAGCTTATTTTTGTTTCATTCTTTAATCAGTAATATTTCATCGGATTCTTTCCCCATTATGTTGCAATCTTAATGGAATGAATGAAAGTCTTATAAGAACCATAATGAATCATATTCAAAAATTGAGTACTAAAGCAAAATTTACAAAATATAAATACAAACTTAACGTCATAATAATTGCATAGATAACAATCTAAATAGAAAAAAATAAACTAAATGAATACTTAACCAGAAGATCGGAAAAGATGAACGAAAGAAAAGAGGCAAAGTTTCGTTGGCAATAACTAGGAACTAAAGTAAAATGTACATTAAACGATAGTTTAAAAACAAGAATCCAATAAGAAGGTTTAAAGAGGCAAACGCTTAAAATGCGTAAACAAAAGCTGCAAGCGGGGAAAAGTGGGAGGAGATTTATTTATAAAGAAATATTTGGAAAACGTTTTAATTTATTTTTTAATACCGTTTTAGATGCCGTTTATTTGTCGTCCTCAAGGCAAATGTTGGAGCCTATTATGGAGGAGACCTCAGAGGATGAGGAATATGCCCTAAATTCCTGGCAGCAATATGAACAACAAGGCAGTGATAATGAGGGAGGAGCCACTACAGAGGGTGAATCGGTGTGTGGCGCCACTAGTGGAGCCGGGGGTGCCAGTTTTTGGAGTTCAGCGGAATCGGACACGGGTTCAGTGATAAGAATCGAAGTAACTAAGGGTGAGTTGGACAAATTTTTTCATAGTGAAGGAGAGAGTGTAAATTTTTTAATGATCTTTTGCAGATAATGATTCTAACTCTGAAAGAGATTTCCTGTGTCCAGCTAAAAGACCACGTAGATGTGAAGAGTCTTTGGCACAAAGTTTGCCAGAGGAGGAGGTTATCTTAAGGCGTCCTTTATACGGCGTAGAAAAGAATAACAGTTTGGAGAGATTTTTAAATTATGAAAACTTTTCACGAGATTCTTGGGGCACTAATAGTCAACAGCGCAGTAGCGTGGGCAGTCGCAGAGGATTTGATGATTTCTATTCTGACTCTGATTCCTTGTCTTATAATTCCTTAAGTCGTTCCTCCAGTCTTATACAATTCGAGTCTTTGGAAAGACAGTTGCTAATGCAAGAACAACATGTCAGTATGAACAGTTTGGGCAATTCCTCACCTTCGCTAATGAGTTTTGATAATAATGAGGAGACAGGAAATAAATTGTTAAATAATTCGGGCAATAATTCCGCCAATAATAGTCGTCGTGGCTCACAGTCTTCCCTAATGAAAAAATATGAATCTTTAGATGGACGTTTGCATCAAACTTATTACGATTTGGATAAATTGAATTTTGATGATATGGATCACAGTAGTGGTGATAATTTTGCCAGAAATGGAAACCTAAAGGTGGCCTCTCATTTAGCGGAATTAAGGTCAGATTCAGAATCTTCTTCCGAGGGCTCAGAGGGCACACAAAGTGTTCTATCGCCGGCGGATATTAATGATAATGAGTTTCTGTTTAAGAAATTCACTAGAACCAATTCGCAACAAAATAAAAAAGGCAAAAGTTCGGCAGAGAATTTGTCCGAAGATTCCGGCTATTGTGAGCCTGCTATGGGCTTTGGTTTAAGACGCAGCAAATCACAAAGTTTATTGAAAAACTATGAAAAATTTTCCGAAGAGGAAGAAGAAATGGAAAATAAGTCATTAATACACATGGAGCAACAGCAGACTACAGCAACAACAACAGAATTTAAAAATACCAACACGAGACATCATCATCAGCAGCAGCAAGAAACACCACCCCACTCCCCCCAGCTAGAATACATACGCCATAAACAGCGTACAGAGGCCCATTCACCATCACCGGTATCATCAGAAGTGTCGACATCATCATCATCATCATCGTCGTCGTCTGCTTGCTCTCAACACTCATCTTCATCATCAACGTCTTCTTCATCTACAGCTTCCACATCTTCATCGGCCACGACATGCGCATCAAAGGCCTCTTTTACTTGGCTAATGCCAACGGCTAACGCCACCACTGCCGGCGCCGTCCGACAATTGCCAAGAGTTCAGGCCGATCAACAACTCCATTCACCAACACATTTCAGTCTAAACGATCTCTGTGTAGTGAAAACATCTAACGAGGAAAACGCCGCCACACAAATTGAAAAAGAATTTTCTTCTTTAACGCGATCAACGACGTCAAACGATCATTGCGGAGAGCGACAATGTAAAGAAAATATCTCTTCTAAAGAATATTCAAATAGTGAAAAATCTAAAAGTATAGAAGAAGTAGAATATAATAGTGAATTAAAAATAAATTATTGGAAAAATGGTGAAAAGTTTCTAGAAGAAGAAGAAGAACAAAAGCTTATTGTGCAAACATTAAATAAAGAGAGAGTGAGAAAAGAGTGTTCCGCAAAAGCTAAAAGTGGTGAATTTAATAATTATGTGTTTAATATAAATAATTTTCCAAAAAGTTTAACCACCTCCTGCCCTAACACACCAGAGTTTTGGAGAGCAAAAGATCGAGATTATACTCCTTTAAGTTTAAGCAAAGTTTATGATAATTTAATGCCTAGTTGGCCGGTAAAAACTTCCAGCGTTCCCAGCGAATTGTGTAATTTAGGACGCAAGAAAAAGCTAAAGAGAGCTCAACAAACAAAAACCTCTTTAGAAGTTGATTGTCCCAATAGTGAGCCCCTAACAGATAATGATTCTTTAGCAGAATCCTTAACAAGTTTGGAAGATTTGCAAACATTAAAAAGAAGTTTAAGTTGGTGTAGTTGTACACAAAATAGCGGGGACTGTATAAGCTTTAGAGCAGAAGCTAAAAATTTAGCACTACTACATCGGTCTTATCACAATTTGGCTTCGTTGGACATAGATTTGGAGGAGCAGGAAACTATGGCGGAGAGAAGAATATCCTCGGATTATGAAACGGAAATTATTTGTAAAAATAATTTCCTATTAGATGAGCTTTCGGCCCATTATGAACGTACGGCTTCTATATTAAATGACAAGCCTTTGGAGGATAATGATATTAACAAGCCTTTAAAGCCGGATAGGTCTCAGGCCAGAAAATCCTCCAATTCTAGTTATTCCCAGGGAGAGGAAAGTGAGTCAGAGCAAGTGCAACATGTCCAGCTGGTTATACGCAAACCCCCCGCCCGACAAAAGCGAGCCAATGGCCAGCAGTTAGCACAGGAAAAGGCCAATAGTTTGACACAAGATTTTAGCTTCCAGGCCATAATGCAAAGTGGTCCCACAAAGACTTTTGATCAAGATCCTACTATATTGAAAACCAGTTATGCTCAAAGTTTGGAAAAGTGTAATTTCGATTGTAAAGAGCTGTCCAATCAGGATTTAAACAAAACACGTTCTATACCCAAACGTAGATTCCACTCCCAAGCTAATTATGCTAAAAAGAAGAATCTAGTATCCTCCACACCCAATCTAAATGCTTATGATTTCCAGCATCAAGATGATATCGAAGATGATATGTTTGTTTCTAGTGCCCACAATTCCATGCATCAATTGCCTTTATCGCAAACACAAAAACCTTTGGGTATACTATTGCCAGCTGGCTCCAGAACCTCTTTTGGCAAGGAGGTAAGCTTTTGTCCCGTAGTATCCAAATACTGCTGGCAGGAACAGTCATCAGAAGAATGTAATGAGGGCTTGGAGTCGGAAGGTCAAGGAGAGGAAGAAAGTGAGGATGAACTGTTGGATAATGCCGATGCCACGGTTATATACAATACCAAAGAGAATGAAAATATAGCGGCGAAATATAATGAAGAGTTTTTGAAAAAAGAGCAACCGAAAACAGAACAAGAAATAGAAATCATTAAAGAGAAAGCGGTAATGAAAGAGATCAATAAACAAAAGGTGGAGAAGATCATTAAAGAGTCAACTATAAAAAGAGAAGAGGAACAAGAAAGAGAAAATGAAAAATTAAGAGATGGTGAAACAAAACGAAATGAAACACCAGAAAAGATAAAACAAAGAGAAGAAACTTTGGAATTGGAAAACACACAAACAAATGAAACACAGGAACAAATGGAGAACCTAAAACAAATGGAATTATTACCACAACTGAACGTTAGTTTAACTACGAACGTAAACAATGAAACATTGAAAACGCAAACGCCGGACGCGCAAAACATAAACGAAACTAAAAGTGTTAATAATAAAGTTAATAATAATACGTGTCTAAAAACCAAACCTACGGTGGTAGTAGCAAGACCTTTAAGCATACAATTGCCCATATTAACAGAACCGCCTATTAATCGTGCCCATCATATACTCTATGCCTCACAGCAAATGTTGGATAATTTCCAAAGGCAACAACAAAACGAGGAAAACGAACATTTTAATAAATCACAATCCACACAAAATCTAAGCAACAAAATGTCCAGCAAAACCAAGGAACTAAAACAAAGCGCGGCTCCTCCTCCTGCTAATCAAGCAGTAAATAATAATAATGATATAATGAAATCGAAATTTAAACATGAAGAAAAACATCCCAATTCAAAAGGTTTCCTAACAAGATTTGCCAATGGTTTTAGATTTTCTTTAAGGCGTAATAAGAAAAAGTTGCCCAAGGATCAGCAACAAGTGGAACAATTGGAAACTAATGCTGTTGCCAAAGAAAATAAAACAAAATCTTTGCCTGCTGCTCACAAACAGGCAGATTTTATACATATACCCTTAAAGGGACCTCTGCCGGAGAATAGGATAAATCAAAACAAACAAACAAATGGCAATGCTGTTAACGCTAAACAAAAAACAGCTAAAACTAATAATAATGATAAAGTAACCGGCAAACCACCTATACCACCACAACAACAACAACAATTGCTCAAAATGCAAAGCGCACAATCCTCTCCACAACCATCACAACAACCATTAGTTGAAGTTGGTCTTAGTCGTTTCTACACCGAAACTGAAAACAACCCCACCTTACCCTTTAACCCACAACAAACGACACAAGATTTTCTCAATGGTGAAAAACAAGCTTTATATCATGAACATGCAAAACAGTCGTGTGCCAACCTTAAACAAGAAACACCGGAAAATGTTACAGAAATGATGTCGGTTAATTCTAACAATACTACGTACGAATTTAATAATTCATCATCACCCTCGCGTGCCTCCGTATCGCAAAAAACTCAAATGTTTAATAATTTATCGCGTCAATCGGTACCGCAACAACAACAAAATCAACAACAACCAAAAATCGGTTTAATCGAAACCAATCTGGATACACATGAAACTATAATAACGGGTAAAACGCGTTCGTTAATCAATATCGGTCCTAATCAGCAGCCACAACAATCGAGATTTGCCGGCAATAAACGTCTGCATACCAATGCACACCATAATCATACATACAATCATCATCAGTATCAGCATCATCACCGCCATCATCACCACGATGGCAATGAGGCTGATGACGATGACTATGATGATAATGATGACGATGAAGTAGTAGTACGTCCCGATGGTACGGTAGTGGTAATAAAAAATGCCGGTTCGAATGGTTCAACAGCATCGCAAACAGCACAAATTGTATCTGTACGTCGTCCCCATAAGAGTATGGAATTTTTATTGGATAAAGAAAATCAAAAGGATGTTATGGTAAGTCGAAAGAATTGTCTATATATTTTAAAGGAATTTAGAGATTTTGAGGATTTAGGGAACAAATTTTGAATACTTTTTTTTTTAAGAAGGCTACGAGTTTTGTGGTAAATTTGGATAATATAACAGTTTCTGGCAGTGTTGCAATTTTACTTTTGACTCAGTTCTAGTTCAGTTCTGGTTCAGTTCTAGTTCAGTTCTAGTTCAGTTCTAGTTCAGTTCTAGTTCAGTTCTAGTTCAGTTCTAGTTCAGTTCTAGTTCAGTTCTAGTTCAGTTCTAGTTCTAGTTCAGTTCTAGTTCAGTTCTAGTTCAGTTCTAGTTCAGTTCTAGTTCAGTTCTAGTTCAGTTCTAGTTCAGTTCTAGTTCAGTTCTAGTCAGTTCTAGTTCAGTTCTAGTTCAGTTCTAGTTCAGTTCTAGTTCAGTTCTAGTTCAGTTCTAGTTCAGTTCTAGTTCAGTTCTAGTTCAGTTCTAGATTCAGTTCTAGATCAGTTCTAGTTCAGTTCTAGTTCAGTTCTAGTTCAGTTCTAGTTCAGTTCTAGTTCAGTTCTAGTTCAGTTCTAGTTCAGTTCTAGTTCAGTTCTAGTTCAGTTCTAGTTCAGTTCTAGTTCAGTTCTAGTTCAGTTCTAGTTCAGTTCTAGTTCAGTTCTAGTTCAGTTCTAGTTCAGTTCTAGTTCAGTTCTAGTTCAGTTTCTAGTTCAGTTCTAGTTCAGTTCTAGTTCAGTTCTAGTTCAGTTCTAGTCAGTTCTAGTTCAGTTCTAGTTCAGTTCTAGTTCAGTTCTAGTTCAGTTCTAGTTCAGTTCTAGTTCAGTTCTAGTTCAGTTCTAGTTCAGTTCTAGTTCAGTTCTAGTTCAGTTCTAGTTCAGTTCTAGTTCAGTTCTAGTTCAGTTCTAGTTCAGTTCTAGTTCAGTTCTAGTTCAGTTCTAGTTTAGTTCTAGTTCAGTTCTAGATCAGTTCTAGTTCAGTTCTAGTTCAGTTCTAGTTCAGTTCTAGTTCAAGTTCTAGTTCAGTTCTAGTTCAGTTCTAGTTCAGTTCTAGTTCAGTTCTAGTTCAGTTCTAGTTCAGTTCTAGTTCAGTTCTAGTTCAGTTCTAGTTCAGTTCTAGTTCAGTTCTAGTTCAGTTCTAGTTCAGTTCTAGTTCAGTTCTAGTTCAGTTCTGGTTTAGTTCTAGTTCAGTTCTACTTTAGTTCTAGTTCAGTTCTTATTAGATTTTGAAACTAAATTCTTATTGGAATTGTTTTTTAAAGAAGTCTTATTTTTCTTTAAATTTAGTTTACATTTACCAAAGTCCCATATTTCAATTTATTTTTTCCAATCAAATCATTTTGACATTAATTTAATTTAACTTACTCGCAAAAAAACTGACAATTGCGATTTTTTTGCCAAAAGAAAAGACAGAAAAACACAAAATTTCTCTCTACCCCTAAACACACACCCAAAAAGTAAATAAAAGACACAAACAACAATAATAATAGCATAATCATAATAACAACAATGACAAGGACTACCAAAACAGATAAATATAAACTAAGACAAAACAATAATAAAAAAAACTTCTTCATTTGTTAGCAAGAAGAAGAGAAAAGCCAAACAACAATAAAAAAAATCCTTTATTTAAGAGGAAAAAGAAGAAGCAAAAGCAGTAGTTGAAGAAAAATTTGCATAAAAAATTGTACAAAATAAAAACACAATACGAGTGTTGTTTTAAAGCAGTGTTGTTAATGCAAGCGTTTTTTTTAGAGGAATTGAAGTGTTAGCGTGGAAAATGGTGTTGTAATAAAGAATGTTTTATAGTTTAATCAACCCTATTATATAAGTCTAGTATAGTCGATAGTCTTGTTTATAGCTTAGTCTATATTTAGTCTAATCTATAGTCTAGTCTATAGTTTAGTCTATAGTCTAGTCTATAGTCTAGTCTATAGTCTAGTCTATAGTCTAGTCTATAGTCTAGTCTATAGTCTAGTCTATAGTCTAGTCTATAGTCTAGTCTATAGTCTAGTCTATAGTCTAGTCTATAGTCTAGTCTAGTCTATAGTCTAGTCTATAGTCTAGTCTATAGTCTAGTCTATAGTCTAGTCTATAGTCTAGTCTATAGTCTAGTCTATAGTCTAGTCTATAGTCTAGTCTATAGTCTAGTCTATAGTCGAGTCTATAGTCTAGTCTTTAGTATAGCCTGTAGTCTAGTCTATTTTCTCAAATTTAATGTAATTAAAAATTTTAATTTCATATTCCTGTCTCATATTAAATTTCATCATAAATTATTTTTTTTTTTTTAATTACAAAAACATTTTCAACAATTAAACAAACCTTTTTAACCTTGACCACAGAGCTGTATAATTAACTAATAACAATAACAACTCTCACTAACAAACATTTGTATATAAAAATCATTTGCTAAATCATATTAAATTTTTATTACTTTTGTGAAGAAAAAGAACTTGACAAAAACACTCCTCTTCAATCTTTTTCCAAAATCTTGACAATTTCACTTTTTTTTATACATTTTCATAAAAAATTTTATGACAAAAATTTCAATTACAAATTTTAAACAGCACCCCAAACAACAGACTACAAAAAAAAAAAAAAAAACAACAAAATCATATAGTACTCAATGAAACTTAAATTGACCTTTTGTTTACAAACAAGTATGTACTTTAACAACAACAGTAAATTGTCAAGTATATTTTTGTGGTTGTTGTTGTCATTCATTGTTTATTGTCTTTTATTCGACAAGTAGCTAAAAAATCAACACTGTTCATACATCATTATCAATAACAACAAACAACAATAAGAATACGAATAATAACAACATAAACATAATAGGCTGTTGACAAACATTTTTTAAAAGTGAGAAAGAGCAAGTTATTTGGAGGCAAAAAAAATCAACAATAAATTTTGAAAAGAAAAAATTTAAAGAAATTCTGTTGCTAAATTATAAAAATTTCGCTATTTTTTATAGAAAAACTTGATTGTTTTGTTAAATTTGTAATATTTATAAAAAAAAATTGTAGAAGAAGAAATTGTCAATAAACTGGCGCTCTAAGGTGAATAATAAAAACAGAAATTTTTTAGGTTGTAAAATGTTCATCTTTTGCTAGACTAGGATATAGTCTAGACTATAGACTAGACTATAGACTAGACTATAGACTAGACTATAGTCTAGACTATAGACTAGACTATAGACTAGACTATAGACTAGACTATAGACTAGACTATAGACTAGACTATAGACTAGACTATAGTCTAGACTATAGACTAGACTATAGACTAGACTATAGACTAGACTAGACTAGACTACTAGACTAGACTATAGACTAGACTATAGTCTAGACTATAGACTAGACTGTAGACTAGACTATAGACTAGACTATAGACTAAGCTGTAGACTAGACTATAGACTAGACTATAGACTAGACTATAGACTAGACTATAGACTAGACTATAGACTAGACTTTAGACTAGACTATAGACTAGACTATAGACTAGACTATAGACTAACTATAGACTAGACTATAGACTAGACTATAGACTAGACCATAGACTAGACTATAGACTAGACTATAGACTAGACTATAGACTAGACTATAGACTAGAATATAGACTAGATTATAGACTAGACTATAGACTAGACTATAGACTAGACTATAGACTAGACTATAGACTAGACTATAGACTAGACTATAGACTAGAATATAGACTAGACTATAGACTAGACTATAGACTAGACTATATAGACTATAGACTAGATAGTAGACTAGACTTATATAGACTAGACTATAGACTAGACTATAGACTAGACTATAGAACTAGACTATAGACTAGACTATAGACTAGACTATAGACTAGACTATAGACTAAGACTATAGACTAGACTATAGACTAGACTATAGACTAGACTATAGACTAGACTATAGACTAGACTATAGACTAGACTATAGACTAGACTATAGACTAGACTATAGACTAGACTATAGACTAGACTATAGACTAGACTATGACTAGACTATAGACTAGACTATAGACTAGACTATAGACTAGCTATAGACTAGACTATAGACTAGACTATAGACTAGACTATAGACTAGACTATAGACTAGACTATAGACTAGACTATAGACTAGACTATAGACTAGAGCTAATAGACTAGACTATAGACTAGACATAGACTAGACTATAGACTAGACTATAGACTAGACTATAGACTAGACTATAGACTAGACTATAGACTAGACTATAGACTAGACTATAGACTAGACTATAGACTAGACCTATAGACTAGACTAATAGACTAGACTATAGACTAGACTATAGACTAGACTATAGACTAGACTAGACTATAGACTAGACTATAGACTAGACCTATAGACTAGACTATAGACTAGACCATAGACTAGACTATAGACTAGACTATAGACTAACATAGACTAGACTATAGACTAGACTATAGACTAGACTATAGACTAGACTATAGACTAGACTAGACTATAGACTAGACCATAGACTAGACTATAGACTAGACTATAGACTAGACTATAGACTAGACTATAGACTAGACTATAGACTAGACTATAGACTAGACTATAGACTAGACTTTTTTTTTTTTTTTTTTTTTTTTTTTTTTCCATTAGGAGGTGTAAATCTTGCATAGATTCCCATGATTTTGAAATAGTCGTGGGATATGTCAGATTCCTACTGACTAAAGCACCTCCTTCGTCAACCAAAGTCCCTGCGGAACTGTCCATAAAGATATTACATCGCAGGGGCAGGTAGCCATATTAAGGCTATGTGTGCACTACTTGCAGACCTTGTCTCGCTTTTTCAGCAGCTCTCAACTTCTCATGGATGCATTTTATGGATTTGCTTATTATTTCCCAGTTGTCAGAATTCTGTAACATTGTATCTACAATATTTTCTACTGTCAGATGGTTACCCATCATTTCTTCTGCCTGTTTTCTTTGTTGTCTAAAGCGCGGGCAGTGGAATATAGCGTGCTCCGGATCTTCAATTCGGTTTGGGCACTGTGGGCAATCTGCAGAACTGTCCAGCCCGAATCTATTAAGGTAGCTTCTGTAACCAC